ACACACACAAACACACATACACACACAAACACACACACACGCACGCACACACTCGCACACACATGCACACACACGCACAATCGCGCACACACGCGCACACAAGCGTACACACGCGCACACACGCGCACTCACGCGCACACACGCGCACTAACGCGCACACACGTGCACACATGCGCACACACGCGCACACATGCGCACACACGCGAACACGCACGCACACGCACACACACGCACAAACACGCCCACACACGCAAACACACGCACACACACACACAAGCACGCACACACACACACCGGGCGTACGCGCACACACGCTTACAAACGTGCAAAACGCGCACACACGCGCACACATGCACACACACGCGCACACTTGCACACACGCGCATACACGCACACAAACGCACACACACGCACACACACGCACACGCACGCACACACACACACACACATACACAAACACACGCGCACACACACTCACACGCACGCACACACACAAACACACGCACACACGCGCATCAAGTGCACACACGCGCACACACACACACACAAACACACACACAGCACACGCACACACACGCTCACACACGCACACACACGCACACATGCGCCCACACGCGCACACGCGTACACACGCAATCACACGCAATCACACGCGCACACACGCGCACACACGCGCACACACATGCACACACGCGTACACACGTGCACACACGCGCACACCGCGCACATACGCGCACACACGCGCACACACGCGCACGCACGTGCACATACGCGCACACACGATCACGCACGCGCACGCACGCGCAAACACGCTCACACACGCGCAATCACGCGAACACACGCACACACACACACACACACACACACACACACACACACACACACACACACCGCATAGGCAACGCACGTGCACACGCACGCGCACGCGCACGCACACGAACAAGCACACGGACACGCACACGCACACGCACACATGCGCACACACGCGCAAAAGCGCACACGCGCACAAGCGAACAAGCGCACACGCGCACACGCGAATACGCGCACACGCGCACACGCACACTCTCGCGCACACACGCAATTACACACGCAATCATGCGAACACACGCACACACACACACACACACGCATACGCACACGCACGCGCACACACGCGCAATCACGCGAACACGCACACACACACACACACGCATACGCACACGCACAGGCACATGCACGCGCACGCGCACGCACACGGACATACACACGCACACGCACACGCACACGCACACGCACACGCACATGCACACGCAAACGCACACGCACCCGCACACGCACACGCACCCGCACACGCACAAGCGCACACGCGCGCACGCGCGCACAAACACACACACACACGCACGCACACACACGCTCACACACGCACACACACGCACACATGCGCCCACACGCGCACACGCGCACACACGCAATCACACGCAATCACACGCGCACACACGCGCACACACATGCACACACGCGTACACACGCGCACACACGCGCACACACGCGCACATACGCGCACACACGCGCTCACACGCGCACGCCCGCGCACATACGCGCACACACGATCACGCACGCGCACGCACGCGCACACACGCTCACACACGCGCAATCACGCGAACACACGCACACACACACACACACACACACACGCATACGCAACGCACGTGCACACGCACGCACAGGCGCACGCACACGAACAAGCACACGGACACGCACACGCACACGCACACATGCGCACACACGCGCAAAAGCGCACACGCGCACAAGCGAACAAGCGCACACGCGCACACGCGAATACGCGCACACGCGCATACGCGCACACGCGAATACGCGCACACGCGCACACGCACACTCTCGCGCACACACGCAATTACACGCGCAATCATGCGAACATACGCACACACACACACACACACACACACACACACACACACACACACACACACACACACACACACACACACACGCATACGCACACGCACGCGCACACACGCGCACACACGCGCAATCACGCGAACACGCACACACACACACACGCATACGCACACGCACAGGCACATGCACGCGCACGCGCACGCACACGAACATGCACACGCACACGCACACGCACACGCACACGCAAACGCACACGCACCCGCACACGCACACGCACACGCACACGCACAAGCGCACACGCGCGCTCGCACACACGCACGCACTTTATTAAAATTCATTGTATCTAGGTTGTGTTACCATAAAAATTGTGTTAGCATAAAAAATAAACTCTTAAACGATATTTAATTAATTTTTCTGATATACGTATGTACCAAATCAGCTTATATAAGTGTAAAGCAGTACTACCACTTCCGAAATTATAAAAAAACCTAATTATTATGTGGTATTAGTACTGTATTCTCATCTGGTTGGGCCGAATAAATATATAAAAGGAAATGATAAATATACATAAATATATATTTCATATTCCAGCACAAATAAATAAGTAATACGTAAATAAATAAAAGCCCAACCAGATGGAGGCCCTCGGCAGGGGGAGATCAAACGGCCGAGGGTTAGAGGGAAAAACCTGCGGACGATGCGGGTGGTATCGAGGTGCACCGCCTTCTGCATTTGAGCCTGGAGCGGTCCGTTACGGAGTCCCAGCCTCCTCAGATGACCCGAGAGGCTGACTGGGATTAGCCCTGGTTTGCAGAAACGACTACAGGAATAATTTCATTAGGCAGAACACCCCACATGTCGTTCACCTCGTGAGCCAGGTCCAGAAATTTTTTCGTTTATTTGTTTCGGCATTCACGAGGTTCTCGTCATACGGAATGGTAATGTCGACCAAAAATATCCTTGACTGTGCCCGGTCCATCAGCACAATATCAGGCTTATTCGCAAGAATAATCCTGTCTGTGATGATGGCCCGGTCCCAGTAGAGCCTGGCGCAATCATTTTCGAGCACGGCTTCCGGCAAGTACTTGTAATACGGCAATTTCCGGTCAACGAGACCGTATTTAAGAAGAATTCTGGCTACTAGGTTGTGCCTGTGCAAGTACTCAGAGTTAGAAAGCGCCGAACAACCGGAGATGTCATGCCTAAGTGACTCCTCGGGATGGCGACAAGCTCGACAGATGTCGACGATGTATCTCCGATAGTTGTTGGTCTTAATAACCTGATCCTGTATTGCACAGACAAAACCCTCGGTTTCCCCGAAGAGGTCACCAAAGCGTAGCCAGTAGAGGGAGGCTATTGTGTCCACGAAAGGCTCATGTAGAGCCTTGTAGAACCTCCCGTGGAGCTCCTTCTCCTTCCATACGGTCTCCCGGTCGGAAATGCTCTGCATTGCCGGGTCTTGCCATTGCTCGTTGGCTAAGGATAGAGGTGTAAGTCCTTTATCACAACAAATGACGTCCTTATAGAATGGATCATCCGATCTCACCAGGAAGTAATTACGGAGGCTGCACACTTCGCGATTACGCATGGTGAGCGCGCTCAAAAAGCCACGCCCACCATGCTTTCGCGGAAAGTACAGCCTCATTACCGACGATCTCGGATGATGCATCCTATGGGACGTCATTGTAGTGCGGACTTTTCTATCCAGGGCGTTAAGTTCAGTCTGAGTCCACCTGAGTATGCCAAAGGTATACATGAGGACAGGCATGACCCAACCGTTATATGCGTGTGTCTTATTCACACCAGACAAAAGGCTGTTGAGCACTTTGGTCAAGCGTGCATAAAACACGTCGCAAACCGACTGTTTCATACCAGCCTCATCGATACCAATGTTCTGTTACACACCCAGGTATCGGTATGTTTCAGCCTCGGAAAGGGTCTTTAAACTGATGGGCGTAGATAAGTCTATGCCCTCAGAGTTAGCAACCTTTCCCCTTTCAACATGGAGGCCACACATTTATCCGTCCCCAGCTCCATTCCAATAGAATTGCTAAATTCACAAGTGATGTTTAGCAATTCCACAAGATGGGAGCAACTGGAGCTGAACCCCTCCCGGAGCCCTCCAGTAAAGTACTGAGAGGGTTCAAAGAGAGGCAGAACCAGATTGGACTCAGACAATCGCCCTGGAAGATACCCCTTCTTATCCTTATGTGGCTTTCCGCAGCCATCATCCGCTCGCCCAGATGACAAAGGATCGTACTCCACTGCCCCATACATTGCTCGAGGAAGTCTCTAACTGTACAGTCTACCTTGTACAGCTCGAGGACTCTCTTTAGCCAGGTATGGGGCACCGAGTCGAATGCCTTTCTGTAGTCTATCCAGGAAGCGAAGTTCCGACGGTTGCATTTCACCACTTTGCCAATGACCGCGTCAATGAGAAGTGGTTACTTGGTTCCACGACCACCGCCCCGACATCCATTTTGAGCGCGCGACATCACCTGATTTGAGTCCAGGTGACGAGTAAATCTCGCGCTCAAAATGGATGTTAGTGTCTTGCATATGGTCGGTAGACACGTGATAGGGCGGTATTTGCTCGGGTCTGTGGTATTCTGGTGTTTAGGAATCAAATGAGTGATCTCAGTAGTGAATAGGCTCGGGAGCGACTTCTGGTTGAGAGCCTCTTGGAACTGTCGGGCAAGCACAGTGTGACACACCACAAACCCCTTCAGCCAGTAGTGATGCAGCCCGTCGAGTTCCGAACTTTTCCAGTTCGGGGCCCTACGGACCGCCTCGACTACGTCATCCGGCGTTATAATGACGGAGTCCATGGGCGTTATACTCGCACACTGACTCGCCACAACTTCCGTCCAAGAGCCCTTGCTGTGGTTTACGGGCTTTAACCACAGGCCGCGCCAGAATGTTACAGTGTCGGCCTGATTCGGTGCTGGGCCCGTTCCACTTGCCATTGGTCGCTCCAATGATTCATAGAGCCTCTTCTGATTACTCTGGAAGAGACGATTCTGGTTGAACCGAGTCGACCTCTCGGTATATCGCCATATCGCCGAATCCGCTTTCCCCAAGCAGCGATTCTCTGCTTCAGATCATCTATGCGCTCCGTCAGTTTTTGCATTATATCCAGCTGGGACAAATGACAGTTTGTCAAATGCAAATGCCATCCTGACGGTGCGCACAAGTTGGTTGTTATTGCCTGATCTGAAGTATATCAGTCTGCCGATGAGAGCTCTAGCCTTTGCGATACGCTCCTCAATTCTTTTTCTCCATGCTGAGATAGCGCTACTTTGGCCAGTAGCGGGTCCAGTCGTAGAAACCTTGGCGCCTATGATACGGCAGACTGCCAGCGCGGGGCCGAAAAGAATTGAGTCCGTATCGCAAAGGTCCCGACTGGCCTCCAAATAGGACACCAGCATTGGGTTCAGAGCCCTCACGACAGCCCGATTCCGCTTGCTTAGGGCTATGCGGGGAAGTCGCGGTCGATTTTCGAGAGGCGTACTGCGCGTTTCCATAATCGCCTCTTCCAATGTACTCCTCATTTGCTCTATTTCTAGTTCCTGGGCGAATGTTCAATCATCATTTGAATCAGCCAACACTGGGGTATTCACGGTGGTATCCACGTGTGCGGGATGTTCTGCAACTTGTGGCACCGCATCCTCAGCCGTAGCATTTTCATTTGATGAGGAAACAGCCTCACGTCGTAGCCGTTCGAGTTCGGCGTCATCAAATATATTTGAGCGCAAGATATACCGAACTCGGTCTGCCAGGTTTTGCTCGGTGACGGTTACAGATGGCTCCAGCTCAGCAAAAAGTTGATACATATTTGCCCGATACGCAAAACCTCCAATTTCTCCCCCTATCGCCCTATAATACGCCCGCAATGCGTTGCTATTCATTGAGATTGTCCAACGCATGCGGTGTATTCTACCAGTGGCGGGTGCCGATTGCTGGGCCAGCAAAGACCCTGCCGTCACCAAGCCTGCTGACGGTGATGATGAATGCGAGAGGCTACTAGGTGGTCGAGCAGCACCTCGCGCTCGGCTGGCGGTTCGCATGCTGTCACGTCCAGCGCCAGCTCCAGACGCGCCCCGGTGACCCCCAGGCAGCGGCCCTTTGCGCGCGAAATTGTATAAACAATTACCGAAAAATAAAGAAAAAAAATAAAGAAGCAAAATCAATCCCAACATTTAGAAAGCACTTAAAATATTATTTAACTTCTAACCTGAGCGTACTTTGATTTCACTATTTTACGCGTCGTATCTAGCTACGCTCGGTATGTGTAAGGTGCGCGTTCAAGCATTGTTTGCGCCTTGGCTACGTAAGTCTTTAAAAGTACCCTGTTTAATAGTATTTTGTTTGTTCTAGAAATAAAAATTGCTAAAATATGTATAATTACAACTGAATGTGTTTGATAATTATTTCTTATATTTACGTGAACACTATACATGATTAAAACTACTTTTACGGATTTTATCGCGTTTATTTTTACTTTTTATTTACTTTTATTTTTAATTCCCGACGTTTCGGGCGCTTTCCAGCACCCATGGTCACGGGGGACTGAGATGACTGACGTCCCGATGTCATTGTTAAACCCGGAGTACCTTCAGCTTTTTTAATTATTGTTTATGGTCCGATCTATGCAAAATGAACTGACTATGTCCTGAGGTCTTGCAGTGGTATGCTTGGGTTTAGTTTTAATTTTATTGATTATAGGATCCCAAGCAGGTGGTAGTACCCAGCCTCCTTCTCTATTGAAATTAGGATGTTTTTTAATTTCAATAGCCTCACGTATCATCCTTGGTAGGAATCGGTGTTCTTTCGCGAGGATTTGTGGTCTTTGTTACAGAGAGCACGAGGGATCTGTGACAGCAAACACCTGGCCGCCGAGCTTCAGCACGTCAAGCAAGTTCTGCACGACAACAAGCTTCGGGTCCCGCGCCTACGTCACAGTGACCGAGTGAAGCCGACCACAGTCGAGCGTGTGCCTGCTGTACTACCATATGACAGAGGTGTCACAGACAAGATTGGCTATATCTTGAAGCGAGCTTCTATTAGAACATTCTACAAGCCGCCGAAGAAGATTAGTCAGTTCCTACCATCCGTCAAGTGTCATATTCCTCTACAAGATGTAGGAGTGTACAAGCTTGATTGTGAATGTGGTCTCTCTTATATAGGACAAACAAAAAGATCAATTAGGACCCGCGTAAAAGAACATATAGCTGATGTGAAGCATCAACGTTCCGGGAAGTCTGCAGTTTGTGATCATATCCTAGACGGACCCAACCATTACATCAGATTTGATAGACCACAAATCCTCGCGAAAGAACACCGATTCCTACCAAGGATGATACGTGAGGCTATTGAAATTAAAAAACATCCTAATTTCAATAGAGAAGGAGGCTGGGTACTACCACCTGCTTGGGATCCTATAATCAATAAAATCAAAACTAAACCCAAGCATACCACTGCAAGACCTCAGGACATAGTCAGTTCATTTTGCATAGATCGGACCATAAACAATAATTAAAAAAGCTGAAGGTACTCCGGGTTTAACAATGACATTGGGACGTCAGTCATCTCAGTCCCCCGTGACCATGGGTGCTGGAAAGCGCCCGAAACGTCGGGAATTAAAAATAAAAGTAAATAAAAAGTAAAAATAAACGCGATAAAATCCGTAAAAGTAGTTTTAGTCATGAATGTGTTTGAGTGAAATTGATTCGTTAAATTAGTGTACGCCTAGGATAAGACTATTGTTTGTTTGTATGTGTTTTAAACTTCCTCATGTAAGTGAATTATTGTAAATTTTTATGAGAAATAAAGATATCTCAAACCTTATTTTTTGCAGTAAACTTTAATACCTATGTAGTATCATGATCTGACAACCATAGTGAACGCGGATTGGCATTCTAAAACCTATCGGAAACAAGGCGTCTTTTAGTTTAAAAGACGCCTCAGTGTTTAATTACCAGGGCAATATGAGTAAGAGAGAGGGACTGTGTGCGGACTCGTACCCGTAATTCAAACGTACAAATAAAATATTGTTACGAGCTTAGGGTTCATGACAATAAAAACTGCCGATTGAATTACCAAAAGGTGAACGGCAGATTTAGTACCGCATACTTTTTCGTTGTTTTGTTATAGAATTAATACCAGATATTAAGGCAACTAAGCCATTAATTTTCATATAAGTTTTATATTTTTAGAACTTGGGATTAATTAATAATATCAATAAAAAGATTTTAATAATGAAACGTAATATAAGCATAAACTAAACGCAATGAGGGCTATCGCGTATGAATTCGCCGCTAGAGGCGCTGGTGTAGAGTGAGGTCTCCGATATGTCAAATGTCACTGTTAGTAGTAGGTGGGCTACGCGTGTTTATTTCTGTTTAGAATAATATTGTGAATATATTGCAATGCCTGAGATTAATTATGGCCAATATGAGTAACGTGTCAACGAATGTCAGTGCTTTAAAAGCGGAGCTAAGAAAAAGAGGTACAAAATTAAGTGGGTTGAAAGAATAGTTAATTCAGAGGTTAGTTTGTTTACTATCTACAAATACATTTTTGTCAAAATTATGCTTATTTACCGAGTTTACAGAAATGTTTTCTTTTTTACAGACTTAAGGACTATAATAGAAATAATAATTTTATTAGAAACATAGAAGATGAAATACTACAAAATAATTTGGCGTATATTGTTGAGTGGCCTTCACGCAGTTTATATAGCAGTATAACATCGAAAAGTGTATCACCTAACATGGATATAGTGAATATTACCACTTAATTTTTAGAGGTTTACAAAGTTTTGAGTATTGCCTTTGAATCAGATGGAAAAATTGTTCAGTCTATGTGTGTGTGCGCTGCTGGTAAAGGGCCAAAGGCAGTTTGTAAGCATACTGCTTGTGTATGTTATGCAATTTTACGATTTAAGGAGTATTCTGAATGGCGTATTAAGAAAACAACAAAAAAACTGAGTTTATCACCTAAAAACGCTGAAGATCTTCCACTAGAGATACAACAATACAATGTCACAAAACAAAAACGTAATAATATGTGTTTTGATCCACGTCCTGATAACACTTGTGGCACTGTACAATGGAATTATGTTAAGAACTGTGTAATATACTATTGCTCTTCAGAGAAAACTTCCTTTGGTATAAGCGATGTGTTTGAAGCGGCTTCCCTGCATGGAATATCTAATGACCATGATTACCTTAAACTATTTAAATATGCCATGTAGTAGCGGTTAAGAATATCCACTACCCCATATCTTCCCGTGGGTGTCGTAAAAGGCGACAGAGGGAAATAGGCAGGAGATGGGCAGCAGCATCTTCCTGATAACAGCAACTGTATGACAAAAAAAACTGCGGTTGCCAACCCGCTCGCCAAGCGTGGCAACTATGGCAATATACCCCCCATGAACAATTACACAAATAGACGGCCCCCAGTCCCCGGTGGCCCCGCTATTCCTGGCTACGGTGGCGACCATGGTAACGGCGGGGCACGGGGTGCTAATAATCTCCGGTGGAGGTTCGGTTGCCACCTACGACGACTCGATCTGGCAACATTTAACGCACGCACCCTGAGGACTGACGAGAAGATCCTGGAGCTGGAAGTAGAGATAGAGAAGTTGCGCTGGAATATTATAGGATTATCCGAGGTCGGAAGAGAGGGAGTGGACATGGTAATTCTCGAATCCGGCAACTTGTTCTATCACCGGGAGGGCGACCATCTGTCCCAAAGAGGTGTCGGATTTATCGTCCACAAGTCTCTCGTTAACAACGTTGTAAAAATTGGGAGTGTGTCGACGAGGGTCGCGTACCTGATACTCAGAATCACCAAACGATATTCGCTGAAGGTCATACAGGTTTACGCACCAACAATGTTTGTACAGTAGGGCTACGATGGCTATCCGAGTACAGAACCAGAGCTCGAAACCTATCCAACTGCAGAGAGGTGTAAGACAGGGTGACGTTATATCCCCGAAACTCTTCACCGCTGCATTGGAAGACGTTTTCAAGCTACTGGACTGGAAAGGATACGGTATTAACATCAATGGCGAGTACATCACTTACCTTCGATATGCCGACGATATAGTCCTTATGGCAGAATCGCTCGAGGACTTAAGCACTATGCTCAATGACCTCAATAGTGCCTCCCAACGGATAGGTCTTAAGATGAACATGGACAAAACAAAGATCATGTTTAATGTCCACGTCACAATTATCCCGGTAGTTGTTGGGAGCACTAAACTGTTGACAAGTACGTTTACCTGGGACAAATAGTCCGACTAGGTAAGTCCAACTTCGACCGAGAGGTCAATCGACGGATTCAACTCGGCTGGGTAGCGTTCGGAAAATTACGACATATCTTCTCGTCAGGTATACCTCAATCTCTAAAAACTAGATTGTACAACCAGTGCGTGTCGCCAGTGATGACTTACGGATCAGAGACGTGGTCCTTCACTGCTGGCCGTATGAGGACGCTCAAGGTCGCTCAGCGAGCTATG